GCTGCATCCGCGGTTTGCGATCGAAATCAATGGAAATATCGCACTGATATGCGCAACGGATGCATTCATGAGTATACCGCGGTATGCATGTGCAGATATATATGTGTATTGCGTTTAATCAAAGCTTTTTGTGTATACAAATGCGATTGAATGCGCTCAATGAACCGCTCCCCGGGCGTCGCTTAAATTGTTAAACGAATTTTGTTCGTGCATTATATTGCCGATCGACGCTACCCACGACTTATTATTTCGTTGATGCCGCAGTATACCAGCGGTGAGTTCCATTAACGCTCCCTTAAATACTTTATTGAAGTTAATGGAGGCTCGTGATTATCTCTTAACAAGTTTTATTTATATGAGGCGCCGCTCCGCGTCACGACGAGACAGTCTGGCGCGTGTGTCAAACAATTAATTCTTCGCCTACGTATCGATTATGCCCAATTATGCCGGAAAGCTGAAATTGCCTTAACAATGTTAAACTTTTGAAATGTATTAATTAGTGGTGGGTTTAGCGACGCACGAGATATGTATATATCGAGAGCGAGTAAATTGACGCTCGTAGCACTTCGTAAATAATCGTAAACCGGCTAAGCGATTTATTGCGAACGTAGATTGAAAAATTTACAGATCAATATTGACGAATCTTTTTATTATACTTGTGTACAAAAGTAAAATTTCAGATCACTATTTATAGGTCTTTATTTCCGGTATGACGAGCCGGCTGCAATCAATTCATGCAAGAGGCGATATCCATCTCAATTTTCGTCAAACTAGTTGCTTGTTGAAATAATCCCACGCAATGCAAACAAATAATTTAGCACGATTTCTCGATCTACTTATATTTCAATTTCAGATGCAAATATTATTCATATGTATAGTTTTGCACAAAACAAAAGTTTTATAATCCATAGAAAAAAGTTTTATAATCCATAAAAATTGTAAAAACCGCAGAGTTTTACTACGAATATATCTATGTACCTATATTTAAATTACAAAAGCTATTTGTTATATTTCAAAACATTTTATGCCAGAAATATTTGTAGGTGTCGAAAAATATTAGCATATCAGATTCTACCAATTTCGATTTATCGGGGATATTACGGCACCGTTCGCTTTCGAGAAACTGCTTGATTTCGGGCGCATCGGGTCAGTTCCCGAAAAAAAAGCCTCGGCCTATATGTATGTATATCGCGCACGTAGCTGACATTACGATGTCATTCTACGAGCTCGCTTCAACGAAATTTAATTTTCCTTTTCATGAATTGGACTGTGATTGGCTCCTCTTCCTCAATAGCTGCGCGCCGAACAAGTTTCGTTCGCCATTTCGCTCGCTTCCGGTCATAACCCGATTCGTGACAGCCTATGCAGTCTATTGATACCCCTATTGGACTTCCAATACTCTCGACTTCTGCAATTTAATTTTTGCAAGGACCACCACGTTACGCCTGTG